TTTAAAAAAAACAGAGGTTTGTACCTATGTTGTTTATTATTTCTTGCCTATATCTTGTAATATGAGAAACTACTTTGGCAGTAACAATACACAATGTACTAACCATTGTTACTCTCCTAAAATCTTGTTTTGAGATTTTGTGCCATTGTTTTTATTTTTTTTTCTTTAAAATAAAAATAACTGATGTCAAAAAAAAAGATGCAGATACAAGTACAAATACAAAAAACAAAACAAAACAAAAAAAAACAAAACTTACTTGGTGCTGGGAATTGAATCCAGGGCCTCACACATGCTAAATACATACGCTACCACTGAGCTACCCCCTCAGCCCCCAAAAATTACTTTTAAATTATAATATGACTGAATAATTTCACTCTTATATATGCCCCACAAAATAAAAATACATGTGTATACAAAAAAAAGGAAGCATTTTGAGTTGAAAGAAAAAGAAGCAAACCTGTGCTGACATAAGTGTTACTTTTCTGGTTCAAAAGCTGAGGAAAGGCTGTGTGCCGAGTCCTGAAGGGTAAACTCTGTCAAATTAGAAACCAGGATCCAGACCTTGTCCCTGCTGGAAGTAACTTAGGTTCCATTGCTGGAAGTAACTTAGGTTCCATTGGAACAAGAGGGCTGAGTTGGGGGAGGTTCTCCACTAAACGAAAACCTAGGCGAGAGGGGCAAGTGGATGCGCAGATGACGAACAGCAGGCCCAGCTGAGCCAGGAGGACGCGTGTGCGGGACTTCAGAGACCTGCCAGTCTGCGCCTTCACCTGCAGCGCTTCCTTGGACAGTAACAAGGCCGCCCCACAGTATTATAGCTGATGCAGCACTTGAAAAAGTGCCACAGGGCCATTGACAGCTTCTATTCTTTTGGACTTTGAAAGTAGGGAAAGGAACTCCCGGTAGAGGAGACAAGGGAAGGGATGAAAGGAGGAGCCACGGGAAAAGGCGAGGCCTTCAGCTTTGTGTCACCTCCATTCCGCCCCAGGAAGTTCTTTTGCAGCAAGGGTTAGATGCAGAAAGCCGGAAACAGCGCGGTGACCTGCACTGGTAGACATAGGCCCATGAGTTTCTCTCTGTATATGGAGCTGTGATTGTAGTAACAGCAGGCAAACCCCGATTCAGATCATTTGTACAAGACCAGGAAGGCTCTTACACCACGCTCGGGAGAGGGAGCCGAGAGGATTGGCCTCGGGCCTCACGTAAGCTCCCCTTACAAGGTACAGGGGAGACGTCAGAAATGTTGCTGATGCCTGCACGTTCCCCCTTCACAGCTAGGGGTCTTTTGTAGGAAAGCCTGCCCTTTCATAGGTTCAAGCCGGGGGGGGGGGGAATTCACAGCAAAACTGTAGTGAAAGTGGAGCGCACTAGCAATAAATGTCATCATGACAACGAAAAAGCGGCCAGGAGCCGAGAGTCTTGGCGTCTGAAAGGCCGTGTGTCAGATCTGGCAAATAACTGTTAAAACCAATGAAGGTACACATTTCCTTCACTAGTTTTGTTTCTGTTCAGTTATGGAACACATTTCTATTGAGTCTTTTCTGTGCACAGTCGCTGTCTTTTTAGGTAAAAAAAAAAAAAAAAAAAGGATACTCAGTGGAGTATCCAGAAAATACTCCACTGGTCTAAGAAAGCTTAGAAACTAGTGAACACATACATGTCAAGAACCTCAAAATAGTTCTGTCTCTCAGACCACAGCAACAGAATACCACGAGAATACCCTCTGTCCGAAGGGTGACTCATATTTCAGTAACTGGCCCCTTTGGAAGAAAAGAAGGTTTGAGGTGCAGGGGCTCCTTAAACTCAGAATCATACCACCTCCAGGGGCCGCCTCGTTACTGTTGCCGTTACATAACGCGGTTTGCATTGCAAATCAATATGGCTTGTAGCTTTGAGTTTTTTCTTAAGCATCATTTCGCATCCAACTGGTGTTAAAGTTAGATTTTTCTACCTGTGAATCAGAATAGGGCATGGAATTAAAATGTTTATCTGAAAAGGTTATAAAACACAAGCAAACTCTGGAGCTTATTTTAAATTCTCCAACTGCTCAAAAAGAAAATTGGCCTTAGGTGCTTGGAACCAACCTTTTTTCCCTTGGGTTTCAATAGCTTAGTTCATCAAAATTTTTGTTTTTCTTAGTCATTAAATTCAAATCCTAACCGAATTTCTGTATCCAGATTACAAGGCATTAATTTTGTTCTGATTTTCACGTATGCCAGCCAGCCCATGTCCAAATGCTGTTCATAAACCCTCCCCACTGCCTGTTTCCTAGGTAATTGGAATGACTAGCCCTCACTCATTATTTTTCAGAAAGACTTGAATGTTGACACTGCCGTGTCCGTGTGAGATAAGGGATACTTAGCAATTCCTTTTGTTTAGTCTTCTTATTTACTTGTTGTACCTGAAGGTCAGTGACTGCTAAAGCAGGGGTTGATTAGACTAAAATACCGAAGGCATAAAGGCATAAATTGGAAAGTGTCCATGGTGGCAGTAGTCAATTCCATGCAGGCACAAGTAGGAAGACACGCCCTTGGAAGACCGTAAACGTGGAGCTAAATCACCTTCCGCGCTTAGTGGAGTGTTAAGGCTGTTTTGCAGATTACTAAGCTACATGACTGGAGGCCTTGAAAAAATTATGTTTTTCTTCTGTAAAATTTTGGAGGAATATTAAACGGTGACCAGATCCTGCATTATAATAGTGCTAGGGTAGTTTCTAGCCAACTTCACATAAACATTAATCAATTATAATTCATGACAGAATTTGTATGACTTTTAATGACATTAAATTGAAGATAAAGCTATTGGCACATAGGCCATTTCAGGCTTAGTTTCATATTGGAAAGAAAGTAACAAATTTTATGGAATTTCAATATCAAAACTAAGAGAAAAACTCTTTGATTCAATTTCTTCAGCAACATAATATGTACATGTACCTTCTTCCGGAGACCTTATGAAATTTTAAAAAATGACATTCTGATCACTAAAAACTATTTAATTCCTTGCCTGGCCTTTGCAAACTGTGTCGGTTAAAAAAAATCAGCATCAGACAAATGCTGTATTCTGATCATGGAAACCATTTTGAAAATAGAAACTTCCGTCTAATCCACCGTTTTGTTTCTGATTTTTTTTTTCTGGATCTGGGGATTGAACTCAGGCCCTTGCACTTGCCAGGCAGGTGCTTATTCCACTGAGCCATCTCCCTAGCCCCAAGGGATTATTTAATTATTTTGGTGGCTCAGGCTGCCTAAAGGGCAGGGCTGGTAGGCAGCTGGAGCTGGGGATTGAATCTCAGTATCCTGCTTCTGACTGCCTTTGCATGAGCAGGTTTTTTTTTAAAGTTGGTAGATTCTGCATTGCCTTGTTGGAGAGACACACCCGTTATCTAGGCCCAAGGAAGGAAGGAAGGAAGAAATAAGTTTTAAAAGCTAAAAATATAATATATGTAAAGCCCTAACATCTTAAATCTAGGAAAATAAAGTTCCAGGCATGCCACGGACGTGGCTCCCTCAGCTTCTGTGGTGTGTGTGTTTGCATTTTCCAGGTGATATTTATTAATAATACCGTGTGGTTAAAGCATAGACTTTGGAGATAGGAGTCAGCTCTGTGCTCCGACACACACTGGTTAGCCTGAGAGCAAGGTTCCTGAGAGGAAATTATGGGAAACCATACTCATGCCCGCACGTGGGATGATTGTGGCAGTTGTGACCGTTTGTGTCGGGCACAGTATGTGCTCTGGTCTGTGGCATGGCTTATTGTCCCCATTTTACAGGTAAAGGGATTGAAAAATATCTCTCTTTGCTTTATCCAGTGCTTTAAACAAGCCATACTGCAAGTAGGCTTTTCATTTTTACCTTCATGATTATTCCTAGGCTGCCTATTCCACCTGAAACAAACTCGCACCATTCCTGGCTATTGAAATTGTATATGTTCTTCATTTTAAGTCATGGTGCTTTGGCTCTGAAACCATCTCTTGCGCCCCCTAATGGACACACCAAGGCACAGTTTCTTGTGTGTGGTCAAAGCCCTAGAGCCCTTCATATTCCCTCCTAGGATGAGAACTCCTACTGAGCAGGAACCTTATCTTTATAATCGTTGTAGCCACTGACAACCGCAGCACAGTGAAGTTCATAACATGTCTGGATTTGTTTATAAATAATAAATCTCAATCATTCCCTTTTTCTTTTTTCAGATGATTTTTGGCCCAATTGATTTGTTCTGGGAACTTTGAATAAAACCACTGAATGGAGATATTGAATTGACTGACAGTGTGGTTTCTAAAAGAAATAAATTGCTTTTCCACAATATCTTTTAAAATGTGGTGTAAGAGAAGTACTGAATAATTAGATTAAAATTATTTTGCATCCATTTTCATTTCATGCATTTATGAGAAATTTTATACATAATAAGATGCATTTTTCCATTATGAATTATTTTTAATTTCAGTTTCTAGTAGAGATTCATATTTGTGCAGAATTGACGAAGCAAACACATGAAAAGAAATTTCCTGGAGTTTTAGTCTGAAACGTTTTGGGTGGCTCTGACATTGGGCTTGGGTTTATGTAAGGCAAACCATGTGAAATTAGACCACACGCTGGAGCGCCAGGTGACGGGACTGCAGCGGGAGCGGACACTTCCTCAGTGTTGGTTGCATTTGTGCTTTGCTGGCTTTGGCTTGCCGTGGAAAAGGACGTTTAATATCACGTTTGTTTTGTGGCCATGCAGGAAAACTAGAAATTGCTATGTATTAAACGAGCAGCTGTTCCTTTTATGTTTTGTTCAGAAAGGCAAGTATTTCATAAATAAGAACAATAATTACTACTCTGAAGTTGCGGATTAGTTTAGTTTTTTGCGTTCTTTTTTTTCTTTTCTGTTTGCCACATCTGATTCAAGGCCGACCAGATGATATGTATCTGTGGAGAACAGGGGGAGACGCACATTATAAATGTCCTGAGTTTCAAGGCCAACTTCCAGGCAGGTGGCAGGCACCTTCAGGCATCAGGCACAAATGAGCGTTCGCTGGCTCTTCCTGGAAAGTTTGGCATGAATCCCATTATCGTTACGTTTGACTGTGTGATAACAAAAGTATCTTTACCAAAAAAGTTTTCTTCTCTTTCCTGAAGGAACTTGTGGAGTACTACAAGCATCATTCTCTTAAAGAAGGGTTCAGAACCTTGGATACGACTCTGCAGTTTCCATACAGGGAGCCGGAACACGTACCCGGACAGAGGGGTAACAGGGCAGGCAGCAGCTGTGAGTATCGTAATTGAGAATCCGATTTGCTGTCACTTAAGGGTTGGAGGCGGTATAGCATTGGACATCTTTATTCCAGACTCTGAACTATAACCAATTAATATGCTAATGTGCTGAACAAGGATTATTTTTTCTTGAGCTAAACAAAGTCGGAGGGACCAACAGGTTTATGAACATGTCTAGTTGTAGATCTTTGTGCTAAAATGAAAACTATGTATGAATCTAAATGTCCGTTATAAAGACTGTGTTCATATATAAAGTTTGTATTGTTCCCTGGCTTTTATCTTAAACTTAGACATAAAGTTTATGGCCAAAATGCTGTGGGAGTGATAGCATTTACAAAATGGTTTACAGCTCTCCTTTTTAGACTCTGCCCACAGGTTTACTTATGATTCTATTGCAATGATGGCTTTCGAAATTTGCAAGGAGTAACATATTTTCTTGCATGTCAGTATTTCTCAAACCATACAATAGCCACTTTCTCTCAAAGTAAACATGGGCCAAAACTAATCGCAAAACAAATTAGCATGCGAGGAAATTCACACTGTAGTTTGAGTCTGAATCCAAGTCAGAATTTCCCCTTTTCACCTTTTGGCGTTCTGTGCGCTTCCTGGAGATGGATAGAGCGCGTGAGAGGATGTTGTGATGGGAACATGCTGTGAGACAAGTGTGCTTGCACTCCCTTGCTTTGATGTCTTTTTAAAAAAAATCTGTTTCACAGGAGAAATGACAACAGTTTTATTACTCTTAGAATCTTTAGCCTAAGCAAAATTGGAAGATCTAAAGGTATTTGAGAAAAAGAATTTGCATCAGTTTAATATAACTTCAACTTTATTTTTTTTTTTTCCTGAAAGCAGACTCTAAAAGGGAAACAGGTAATGCTCAGGGTTCAAACAGCATCAGTAAAATTTCATACGCTCAAATACAAGAAAATATGCAAATCATTTGCCACATCAAATGACAGGAGGTTTTTATAGACTTGACTCGCTTCCCGGGCCTTGCTGCAGCGATCACTAACCTGCACCCAGCCAGGCCTGCGCAGTGCGAGTGGTAAGGGTGCGCTTTGTGGCGAAACTTCGGACACTTCGAGTTTTGCTTTTAGCCTAAACTTCCTAATTATCTTGGAATCTCAGGCTCTAAAACAGTTTCCCTACAAATTTCTTACAAGTCTACCCAAGTTATGACTTCTTCCCACTGCGTGAAAACTGTACTTTTCAGCACTGTTTTTCTGCCTTCCCAGCAGCAGGGCAAGTATCCACGGAGGTCAGTTATGCCAGGCCCTTGATTTGTTCCACAGCGTGTAGGAGTAAGAGAAAGGCGGATGTCCTGCGTTACACAGAGAGGATTTCTAACCCTCACATGAGTTTCACTGCCGGGCTGCTGCCTGGCTGCTTCTCTGGTGCTTGGGATGTGTAACTGCTCAGAGCATGTTGTCCAGTGATGAATGGAGTTCCCTAACTTAAAATGTTGTCTCTGGTGTTTAATTATTTAATTTTCAAGCCGTTTTTAGCAGCAGGAAGGGACATTTCTATTGGTTTTTAAGCAGAGCCAGTAGAATGACACCCTTCCTGGCTCTAGGCAGTTTTCAACAGAGTCAGAATTCAAACATCCCCACCCAATCTTTATAAGAGACCTTGGAAACTGAAGTCAGAACACCATAGCCCTTTCATAGTCCAGAAGGGAAAGCACTGCGTTTATTTGAAATTGGATACTATGCACTACAGTTTGTCTTTGTTCACTGGGACAACTCGGCAAGTGTGGGTTGGAGGAGTTGGACATTTTATATAGAGAGATTGGGGAAGATGTTGCTTACAGTATTACCTAAAGCAAGAGAGAGTAAGACAGTAGGTCAGTCGGCACTTACCATGCAGAAGCTAGCTCTCCGAGATCAGCCTCCTTTACTACAAAGCAGAAGTCTATGCTCTGATCAAAATCATGAGGCTGTCCCCATGATTTACTGTGTTAAAACTGCGTGAGATGGAAATCATATTAAGATGGCCCTGAGAATCAAATAAAGTGCTACAGATAAAGCACTCCGTATGGTGCTTGTACATAGCAAATGCACATGAAGGTTAGCTCTACCACCTTTACTAATGCTCCTGACTTCTAACGTAGCACATACTTGCTGATATTTCTATGGCCTGAATAAGTTTACGAATTGCAGTAATTACAGCAATTTACATCTTTGCTTTTATGATTTTTAAAGTATGCCCTTCTTATTTTAAACCAACTGTTGAGTCAGAGTTAACCACTGAAGGAGAAACCCTGTGTCTAATTTTAGGCTTGCAGAACCTCTCAGGAGATAGCAGGAGGAAATGCTACGTATTCTACATAGGAGGATTGTGTCTGCTGTCTTCGCAGGCCTTCCCTCTGCTCCATAGCTTAGAGTATGCTGCGGAATTTCATCTAACAGAGCTTAGAGAATTGCATAGCAATACTGCCGAATGCAGGGTTATTGGACTGAGAGCGCTCATGTTGCTGTTTCTTCCACAGAGTCTTGAAGCTTAAAGAGCAGGCAAGGGAATGCGCAGAACTGTCTTGTGCTCTGGATACAGGATGAGCTGCTGAGAATGGAACTGCCACTCCCGAAGCCAGCTGCTTGCCATTCTTATGTTTACGTCATCTAGTCACAGGGAAAAAAGGCTTGGGGTATTGGTTGAGATTGCTTCCTTCAGGAATAGTCTAGGTACAAATGTTCTCAGGACCATTACCAACCATTTTGTAACTTGTAAATAAGATGAAATTCAGGGCCAGCCAGATAGGTCAGTGGACTAAAGCGCCTGCTTAGGTGGAGTGCAGCGGCCAGAGTTCAATCCCCGCCATGCCGGCCTTGCCCCTGGGGCACGTTGAGACGGGGTGTGGTGGTGCACACCTGTAATCCCAGCACTTGGGAGGCTGAAAACAGGAGGATCACTACGAGTTGAATCTGTATAGTGTGATCATGTAGACCCTGTACTAAATTAAACAAAAGAAAAAAAAAAAAGGAAATTCATACAAATCTGTGTCATGCACATGAAGATAAGCTGTAAAGAGAAACTCGTTAGAGCCAAGCAGGAGTGCGTGTTAGGGGTGTGGACCATAGCACTGCTAAGTGCCCGCTGTCGGCTGCCTCTGAGGCCATCTCCCCAGGTGAGGGGTTTTTGCCCTTGCCTTTGGAATAACTGAAGAGAATATCCAGAGGAGAAAAAAGGAAGAAAGAGAACCAAGAGTAAGTGAAGGGTACCAGTTCTTTAGTTTCCCAGAGAGTGCAGGGGCTTTATGGACGAAGGTCAGTCATGCAGACTTAGTAAGAGCTCCACTGTTTTCCAGTGGCCCCTCATCTGCCTCAGGTGCTGGAGGTGTCCCTGGAGGGCTGGTAGACTGGGAGGGCGCCAAGTTGGCTTTTGTAGTTCTTGCTGTACATGACTGTTTTCAGAGCTGCCTCACAGAAGCCGTCTGATCCTGAGCAGGTCACTCGGCCAGGTGGAGCCTCAGCTTTCCTACTCCATGAATGAGGAATGAGATTAGAGAACTCATGGTGTTCTTTGAGAAGTAGAGTTCCTTGTTTGTTTCTTTGTAGGGAGAGGGAAGGAGGTAAAGTATAACACTATTAGACCCTTGCACTAGTGAAAGTTGAGGGACAGGCCATTTTGTGATCCATACACAGACGTGACCGTGTTCCCAAATTTATACTTAGGCAGAATTAATTGGCCTACACAGCAGAGAGGTATAGTTCTTTAACATGTGTACTATAAAGATACTTATGTACAGGCTGGGGTATAGCTCAGTGGCATAAGCGCCTGCCTGGCAAGTGCAAGGTCCTCAGTTCGATCCATGGCACCACAAAAAAAAAAGATAATTATATAATTAATATCAAAGTGTCTTCCACAAGAACTTATGGATCACAAAAGATAAAATAGCTGGTGAAACCGTTGGCTGACCAGGAAATGAAAGCGCGCAGGCTTTCTGGGAGGAGAAGCACTCAGTCGTGTACACACACTCAGAGCCCAGCAGACGCTCCCTGTTTCGTAGGTTGATAGTACCGAGGAGCATGGTCATGTTGAAGATTTCTGTGACGCATTAGTATTTCATTTCTTAATTTAAAAAGGACATAGTAACTTGAGAATTATAGTTGTTTGTGTAAATGTTTAGTTATTTCCTTTGATATCTCTATTTCTCATTCTCAGCCATGCTCTGTGTGCCGCTGTCCTAAAACAGGAGCTCAGGAAGTGCTGAACGAGGGCCGTCAGAGCCTGGGTCCTGCGGAAGGCATAGCAAGCGCCGCCACAGGGCGAAGTGTCATTACTGTGGGAACCGCGGAGGAGGGGCAGGTCCCAAGCAGAACATAGATCAGCACGTTCTTTTGGGTGTGATGGCAAATGTCACAACAGTGCTCCAGACACTGACAAAGGGTCCTCGAGACCGTATGCACAGTCTCGCTGGAAGAAGTGGAAGCAGACCTGAGAGCCGGAGTCCAGGCCCCGCTCCTGGGTGTGGTCCCTCCTCCATCCTTGTGTCCCTGCGGTTCCCTTGGCCGTAGACATGGTGCTTGTGTTTCATTCTTAACTGTTGCTTTAGACAGAAACTTGGAGGATTTGTGTCGTTCTCGTTTATTTATCTGAGTATAACATAATATAGCCTTCTTATTCTTGATACTTCATTAAATAGTCTAATCATTTCTGGATCACAGTTTGTAAATTATATGGCCTTATAATAAGGGATGATATTTATTTACTTTATTCAATGTCCTCAAGTACACATTTAATTAAGTTTTGCCTTTAATCCTAATTCAGTAGGTCTATATCTGTCTTCTCTTAGTATCTGCTTTCATTATTTTATCCTCGGTCTTCTGTCATTTTTTCCATGGTCATTTTGCTTGGATATGATCTGATTTTAGCCTAATAACTTGATACTAGTTTTATTATCATTGTATTCGTTTCCTCGGACTGTCATTAAAAATTGTCACAGGGTGCCTTAGGACAGCAGGACTTTGCTCTCACCTTCTGGAGCCCACAAGTCCA